AGTATGGACAGAGGACCAGGCAAGGGTCTGAGTTCGTGTGGTACCAGTCATGATCACAGAACACCAACACACAAATGAACAGTTCTTGGGCTAAAAACGGCTCGTCTATTCAAGGGTTTTGATTGTTATTATACTTCATTTGTGGCATGTATGTGTATCCGTGAGCACACACATCACAGGGTGTGTGCAGAGCTCAAAGAACAAGTTTCAGGAGTCCACAATGTGGGTACCAAGGATCGAACTTGAACTGCCAGGCTTGGAGGCAAGTGTCTCTATCTGCCGAACCTTCCTGCTAGTCCAGATGTTTTTCAAGAAAATTTAAACATTTACCCAAGCTCTACCAAATAGGGTAGAAACAGACTACACAGGACCATTTCACCTATGCCATGGGGCTAGTGCGATTGAAATTTTGATTTCTTTTTAAATTTTAATGATTTTCATTCAAATGGCCACATGTGTCTGATGACAGTTTTACTAAAAGACACGGCTTGAAAAGATAAACAACCCCAATGACTCCCTTTGATATAGTCTGATGGCTCTCAACCACAGCAGGACAGAAACTTCAGGAAAAGATTTAACTAGAGATGGCCTGTTAGAGCTGCCAGACAGGACACTGATCCGAACAAGATTTCCAGTTGGCATCCTAAAAGTCATGGCCAAGTTTAAGCTACAGCACCACACTGCCAGCCCCCTCCTGGGGGTCAAGCTCAAGCTACTGCACCACACTGCCAGCCCCCTCCTGGAGGTCAAGCTCAAGCTACTGCACCACACTGCCAGCCCCCTCATGGGGGCCTTGCTGCTTTCAACACAGGATGGTATTTTTTGGTTTCTACACAAGCTTTTTAACATACACCGTCTGACCACGGGGAGGAAGCACAATCTATCTAACATCAGCTGTAAACTAAGGATTCAAGCCTTACGCACTCTGGAAGATTTGAAATTATCTCATTTGTCACGTAGCCTACAACAGTTCTTATTAACTACGGACTAGCTGCACCCCCTGAGTAAGATGGAGATATACAATGAGAAGAGGTCATTCCTGGCCTTATAGAGTGCACACCCAGTCACCAGAAAAAGCTTGCCAATGCCCAGGCACCCTGAGAGGAGCAGGGGAAGGAAGAATGAGCTCATTCCCAAACAACTGATTTGAGTCAATACAACCAATCTCTCCCATAAACAGCTAACTGGTTTCAAAACACTTCATGGTCAAATGAGTGTTATTCTTTTGGGCTACTTTGTATTTACACATAGAACACACATTACACACTCGGGCACGTAAGCGCTTACACCACTCATCGCCTTTGTGAAATCTAAGAACGTTCAGATTCGCTTTAGATTTTACACAGGAAGAGCAGAAAGGGTCTCCAATCCAGTTAGCGTTCCTTTATTCCCTAAGCACAGATAAAGCGGCCAGGAAGAGTCAGGCTCTGTCTTCCAAGAATGTTGGCTGGTTTTGCTTGTGTTAGAGACGTTAGATTTACTGTGTGTAACTCGCTTGAAAAGGGAGATGCCTATTCATGTATGTAATGGCCGCGGAGGACTGGGTCGACAGACAAAAGACAGGCAGTTGCATGAATGGATGCACGGATGGACAGACAGATGAATGAAAGGTAGTCTTGTTTTGGTTCTACTCCCCTATACCCCAGTCACAAATTTTAATGTGACTTTAACAGTGAGTGCCACAGACTCACAGTTTACCTCATTAAAACCTCCCCTCTTCCATAACCCATGTAAACTAGGCAAATGAACACCGGCAGCTTTCCTTCCTGCAGACGAATGAACTCGAGGTTGAATTCCTGCGGCACTCAGAGACAGGCACATCAAAACCGCTAAGAAATGACAGGCCACCACACAACAAGAAAGGGAACTAGAGGCCAACTTGTGGTGACCTGCAGCTGAACTTGAAAGGAAAACTGTTTAGACACCAACAAAGGAGAATAGGAGAACATACTCCATTTCAGCGGTAGCTTTGGGTGGGTGAGGGGCGTGAGGGCGCTGACTGACCAGTAGAGTTAGGAAGTACAAGCCAAAGCACCGCGTCACTGAAAAATCTGTTGGTTTTCCATAAGGCAGAGCCTTGCTGGGCCTGTTTCCACATGTACCTACCATCCCATTCCAAAAAACAGGAGTTTGAAACAGTCCTGCTATCTGGGGAAAAATAATAGATTTTCATGAAAAGTCACAGTTACCCATAAGGTAAAGGAAGATGAACAACCAAATGTCTCCCTTCTCTCTTTTTGTCAGAAGTTATTTTTAAATTAAGTCTCTAAGACAAGACAGCAGTTTTGTGCTCGGATTTCTTACTGCTTTGATAGATGCCGTCCTCACCTGCACAGGAAGAAGCAGGACTCTGCAGTCTGTTTAGGGGAGCAGAAGCTAACAACTCAGGGGAGAGGTGGCAGACACAACAGATTTGCCCTCTCCTGAGTAAAATCCCCTCCTTGTTAAAGAGTGAGAACACTTTAAAGAGTAATTAATTTTCAATTAATACAATAGGATGTGTTCCTTAGTTGACAGGACATGTCTTTGCTAAAGTTCATGATGTATCTTAACTAAACAAAGAAGTTACAAAAGTGATATCTAAGTGTATCTTCCCATCTTCTTAGATGTTAAATAACACATGGTAATATTCAGAAACTAAGTAAACAAGATACACACAACCTCTTAAATGTGTACAATTAATTATTAGGTGTGAACCAAAAAAGTAGCAAAAGAAAAATAAATTAAGTGTGAGCTGAGGAGGTTCAGTGGGTAAAAATGCTTATTGTACAACCATAAGGACCTCAGTTCAAATCCCCAACACCCACGTAAAGGTCTGGGCACAGCCACCTGTACCTTTAACCCAGAACTGCAGGAGACAGGAGAGGAAGATCCCTGGAACCTGCTGACTTTTAGCCTTGCTCCAAGCTGAGCAAAACCTGTCTCAGAGGAATAAGGCAAAAAGGGATAGAGGACAGGAAAGGTCCTCCTCAAACCCTCTCAGGTGCACATCACACACACACGCACACACACACAGACACACGGAAAAAAAGGTTCAAGGAAGTTAAATAAAATTAATGCAGATGTGTCTGAATTTTTAGGTAACAAACGAGAGAAAAACAGAGAAAGAAGAAGACTAGGAATGTGGGGAGTCCCCAGACCAGTGTCTCTTCTTCCATGATGTGAGCTTGTGTTTCAGGCCCTGCTGCAGCTACACTAGGCACCCAAGGGGCTCTGTAAAGCTCTGTTAACTGCTCGAGTTGTTCTGACCATATCCTCCTTGGTAGGCTGAGATGTCACCAGAGTCATCTACGCCCTTGGGTGTCGGGGGATGGGAAGTTGAGGATGACCGGGAAGCCTAGCTGAACTGCACGGTGAGAGGAAGTCTGAGGGGAGAGGTAGAGAGACAGACAGGTAATATTTCTCAGGGAGCGGTGGGGTCATATCTGTTGTTCTTTTCCCTCATGGACCTAGAGAAGCCTGAGTTTCTCTTTTCTCACCTACTGCTTCCCAAAGCTCCTCCCACACAGTGGCCGTCAGGAAAACCTAGCGTTTGCCGCTGTCTTCGAGTCAATGGAATATTCAAGTCCATTATTTTCCTGGCCAGCTCTCAGCACTGACATTTTTCCTGTCGTTTTCACTGCATGCGTCATCGTCTACGTTTTCCTACAGCATTCTAAAACAAGTCTCATAGTTATCTGTCAACCCTAATTCTATTCGTATTTCTTGTTGTGCATGTGTCACTGTACACTGTGCCACATATCCAGGAACTTGTTTTTTCAAAAAGAAAATTCACAGAAAGGGCTCACACAGCATTTAGGGTCTCCGTTCACTATCAGAGTTGCTGCCCTCCTGAGATGCCCCATCATTCCCACCACCTAGAGGAATTTTTATTTAGACAAGGGTCTAAATATATGTACACAGTAAATAAGCCTGTTCTCTGCCTGGATTAAGAACCTCTCTCTTTCCAAAGGCAAGGATCCCCTCTCCCTGTAGGAAATCTGCAGGCCGTCTCACACTCGCCCACACCCTTGATTCTAGTACAGTCTGCCGCTAACCCGAAAACTTGCAGCTGAAACAACTTTTTCCACCATAAATAAGGCCACCAGGCCCAGATGTGTACAGGGGAAAAGAAAAGAAGACAGAAGTCCCCGAGAAAGCCAAGCACTGGTTCCTCCCTGCCCACTCCCTGAGAGACGTGCATCTGGAGGGCTTTCCACGCCCCAGTGAGAAAAGAATGAACTGAATCAGAACAAGGAGTCAGGGTTCCTTCGTGGTGGGAACAGTGACCATCACCCCTGTGGGTCCCCACATTCCAATTTCTAAGGATACAGGTGATTTCTCTGGAAGTGAAAAACCGTGCCTCTCCTCTCCAGCTATGTGTGAGTCCGCAGAACTCAAACATGCCAACATCATGGCATAATCACGGCAACCATGACCTACTCTGCGCCAGATGCCATGCCAAGTGTGTCCCACACTTCCTTGCGCCGTTCTTACTAAGCTGGGAAGGAAGCCTGGCTGTGCAGAGAGCACAGCGCCCTACTGGACACTAATGAAGGGCAGTGGCGTCCTGATTCAGTACAGCTGGTTTGACTCCAGCACACAAGGTGAAAAGCGTCAGGTCCTAGGGCCTTGGGCCTTAAAAGTTGAGAGGCTAGATTCTCCTCCACTCTTCCCTAGCTGTGAGCCATCTGTTGCTCTTAGAACACTGCCTCTGGCTTAAGAAGCCACAGAATCAAGCTCCTATTCCTCCCCACTCAGACTTAAAAAGACACAGCTGGCCAGCAGGCAGGCTTTCTTTCAAGCCTTCGGAAAAATAGTCAGAGACTCTCAGGACCAGAAAGAACTGAATTCACGTTCCGTTTCTGAGCAGGACTGGCTGGCACTGCCCCTTTCCAGCCCCACCCCACCCCAGCTCCAGAACTACTTCATGCTAGCAGCCATACTTCGGCTGGGGTGTCATCAGTGACCCCCCCCCCAGGACTGAGCATGGGCCCAGGACCAACTTCTCCCCAGAGAGTGACGAGTGGCAGAAAACAACTCAGAGCTACACACAAAGACGCCTTCACACTCTGGCTCCCCCGCCCATCCCTGAGGTGGGAAAGGAAGGGTCTTGTGGCTGGGAGTTAGAACACATAAAGGACACCAGCAGATGACACTTGAGACAATGACCTCCACAGTCCAGAGCCAGCTCCGTCCAGTCAAGACAACCTGAAAACCGAGGGTCAGTGGAGACCTGCTGAGAAATAAATCTGACAGCAGTAAGAGGAGGGGCAGGCAGTATCAAGATGAGGCTAGACCCAGACTGCGAGGCCCTCCATCCCAATCTTCCCGTGATGCTTCCTTGGGCTCGGCTTTCTTTTCACCCACAGATTGAATGGAGACAGACAAACAGGGCCAGACAGATGCACATCCTCTCTCCAGCGCCATCGCACTTTCCTCAGCTATCAAACAAACTGTCTTCCTATACCAAGACACCTTCAAAAGATAAAGAATCAAGGCCAGCCTGGTCTAGAAGGCTAGTTCCAGGACAGGAACCAAAAAGCTACAGAGAAACCCTGTCTTGAAAATCAAAAAAAAAAAAAAAAGATAAA